GCGTGCCCGCCCCCCCCCCCCCCAAAAAGTCTCTTGATACTCTCTTGCACCCTGGCTTTTTGCATCTTCTCTTTGTTGATTCTTTTCACATACTCAGTCTCTTCTTACCATCTGTCATCTTCTGGGAATCACTGCTCTCTTCTTTGGTCTTTGCTGCTGTAGATGGAGACTGCTTTTTCAGAGAACAGCAAAATGCAGAGCAAGGAGTCCAGCCTTTGAGCCAACAGTATGACTGAGGTAGCAGGTCATGTGGCCTCTACGCTCCCAAATAACTTCTAATATTGCTTTGTCAAAATGGCAGCTTCAAGAAGTTTACTGTGCAAGCATATGCAGCTACCGCAGGAATCTTGAGATCCACTGGCTTTGTGTGTCTTTATTCTGTGCTGTTACAGCTATAACTGATCAACCGGCACGATGAGCTAATTTTTAGTATCCCATAAAATCCTTCAGGGAGCAAATTACTGGAGCGGTTTTTTTAATGCATTTTACTGTGCAGTAATGATGAGGATAGATAGCAAGTGATTGAATTTGAAAAATTAGTGAATAAATATACAAGAAAGATAATTCGTTATTTTTTACTTTTTAATTGGCAGTGGATTTTAAATGGTTAGTTGGATCAATTTATGCGTGCAATTATTCAACTTGTGTGTTAGCTTACATATGCTGTGACAAAAGTAATGAAGTCTGAATAAAAGACCCAGCTTCAGTCATCCTGAAATGAGAAGTGTTCCATGTTGGGGATCATCAAGGAGCGGACCATGCGAATTAGCATAGATGCACTTTAATTTTGAACCTCAGACCAAATGTCATGGCATGAAGGACCTTTAATTGTGACGTCTCTAATTCATGTTGTCTTAGGCATGCTCATTTTAGCCTCCTGTCTCCATCGGCTTGTAGTCTTTCTTGATAAGGGATCACAGAGGTAAAGAAGGTTTTTTATATGCAGCCTTTTTACTTAGCATATATTTTTCTAAACAGCATGCTCTGAAATTGCACTCGAGTGCCTCAAGGAGATCCCTACGAAGTTTGATTGTCTTTTGTTTTAAAGGGATTGTTTCTCTGTGGTGCTGTATTAGTGGTTTGATGAAGTGGTGTAACGGGTTGTTTACAAAAAGTTTTTGGACTAGCAACTAGGAAACACCAGGTGGCCAAACTTGAAGGAGGCTTCTTCCAAAAAGAATTGGGCATTTATGGAGAATGAAGGATGATAGTTTGGGAGCTGTGGTAGCCACAAAGTAGGCGTTAATGGTAGGTAGTTCCTGCCTCTGGCAATTTGCTGCAATTTCCATGCAGCTTACTAGGGCTCAATTATCCTTCATCTCTTCCCGAAAGTGCTAAAAACACGCTTTCTGAGGAGGTCATACTTTGTTACAGTAAAGGCATTGGAAGAACAGTAACTGAGTTTTGGTCAGAACATGGCTACGCTTTTTCTTATGGGTGAGGCAATGGTGTGACTGACTTGATGCTTGCAAGCACTTTTAAGCATCATATCAACAGAGTACTTCAGTGTGTGCATGTGACTTCATTTAACTTGTTACTCTCTGGATAGACAAAAATGAAATTAATGTGGCAGTTACTGGTACATGTCTCTTAACTGGGGTTGGAATTACAGTGTTGGAATTACGGTTTTCAATCAGCTTTACCCAGATGTTACTCTTTTCTCCACTTATTTTCCGCTTCATTGGAGCAACTTCAAATGTACTTGTACTGCTTTGTGCCCCCTAAAACGTGAAGGAGTATGTTCACTAGGTCAAAAGACAAAAAGAACAAAAAATGGCCCTTGCAGAACAGAGGTTTAGCAGTCTTAGTATTTTCTGTCTTTTGTGACAGCTTCTTGCTTGGGCAAATCTACTTCCAATCTTAGTTGAGTTACTCTGAGAATGCATTGAGTGATCTGAATTTTTTTTCTTGATGTCTTTTACTGTGGTATTTTCTGTTCTTTGTTTTGTAATTTATCTAGAGCCTTCGTCATAAATGGCTCAGAGAAGATGCCCATTCTTTGGTTTTCCTTGTTTTCTCATTGTTCTTGGAAAAGGTACCTTTCAAGGAAGTAGAAACTACCTCTCCTGGTACATTATGGCAGTTTCCGGTTGTGTTGCTGTCTATTTGATTGCACAGTAGTTCAGAGGGTTTGTGGTTTGGTTTTTTTGTTTCTTTTTTCTTTTTTTTTAAGATTACACACACACGCAACCATTAGGTTTCAGGAACTCTTGCAGAAGACCAATTCAGGTCTAGTAAGAAAGTGAAAGCTCTGAAATGCTTGGGAAATATGTGAGTAGAATCAAATTTCTTGATGGGAATGAATGTCCTAGGTTTGCCAACATGAAGGAAATAAGAGGGTTCTTGTTTCAAATGCATGTAGGCTTCTCTAGAAGGAGGCTGCTGTTTGCTGCCTTTTTTTTTTTTTTTAACTTATGTCAACTGACATCAGATGCAACTCATGGATGTGTTTGCATTTGGATAATACTAACTTCTGTTTCCCTCCTTCCCGTGACGTTCTGCAAAATCGGGAATGCCAACGCTTTTGCTGTAATAACTGCTTCAGATAAGTCACCCCTCATGCAAATAATTCTCTTCAGAGAACGGATGTCTGGGTTTCAGTATTTTATCTGCTTACATTTCTGGTGATGTTGTTACTGATGTTGCGGTATGTAAAATGTTTATACTACTTGGTAGTTCCTGCAGCCGGAAAGATAGCCTTTTTCTTCCTAATTGTATGAAGAGTATACGGTTTTGATGAGAGCATAAAGCACTAAGAACCCCTTACCTATTCACTTTTCCAGAAGTTATCTTGGCCATTTCTGTCTGTCTCTCCCCCGCCACCTTGGGTTACTGCCTTTATATCCACACTGCTTTCATTGTTGCTATCAGAAAAAATGCTGTTGAGCCTCACCTTCCTAATGATGGCTTGACCCAGGGTCTGAAGGAAGTCTCTTTAGGTTGGTATCTGCTTTCTACTTGTTTGATTAGTTCTCTGGTACCTTCAAATCTCAAAAATCATTCTAATTTTTTGAGATACTTTAGGAATCTTTAAATCTGGGGATGGATCTGGGAAATGCCTGGTGTATCTACAAGTCAAAAGTTTGGCTATGGGGTAGAAGCTCAAGAGGTGCTCATTTGGAGGACATAAGAAAAATGAAGGGTGCAATGAAGACTGTGTTTTCTTTAAATTAGCATGTTTTGCCTACCAGATGATGTCTTGTGCTTCAGAATACTAAGAGGTTTATTCTTCTGTTTTATGTTACAGGGGTCAAAACTTAGACAAGTGTAACAATTTTTTTTAATTTTACTGTTAAGATGCTTCAGTAGCATAGCATTATGCCTTTTTGGTATCGGGAATACTACTTGTTACTGTCTTTGAGGTTTCTGTGGAGTTTTAGTGTTGGTGTCTTGTGTTTTGGAATAGAGTGTAGCTAGGTATACTTCTCGGTTCAAGCAGTCCCAAACTTCTTGTTTTTTCTTGAGCTTTATCAGCCGTTTTCATCATAACAATATTAACTCAGTTTAATCCCCTTGTCCCCCAACTTTGGCTGCTTCTTAGAATCTCTAGGTTTTCTTACAGATCCCTGTTACATCTGTTTATGGGAGGTACAGACCTCAATGCTAACTGAACCCATTTGCTACGCGTTTCCTGTTCACACACATTATTTTCATACATAGTTTCAAATGTTTAGACTGAATTTAAAAAGTGGCTTTGCCATCCCTGTTGATTGTTCTAATACCAGCTCCCTCTGCCAAGGATTAATACATATTTTTTGTAAGATGCATTAGAATTCAGACAGGAGCGAGGGGGAAGCTTCATTTGAAATTCTTAGAGTAAAAGGACAAACTTCTGGATTATGTTGAAAACAAATGGCAGGTGTTTTATTCAAACTAGAAATTCTTGATTGTATTAGCTGAAAGCTACAACTTTGTGAAGTTGTAACTTGGTTGAACACGAGTGGACTTACGATGGTACTTGAACGTACAAAACAACTTCCAAGATTTCGACAGCGTTTCATGCATGAAAGGGAATTTCCAATGGTGCCTTGCTTGTGTATGATTCTGCAATAGGTTAGTAGGTGCTTGCTGATACTAAAACAACAGTTCAGTGCTGAATGTCAATTATCTAGTCTTCTAAAGAGCAAGCACTGTGCTAAACTAAAAAAAAAAAAAAGGCTTGATGTGTTTTGCCAGTAAGTTTCTTAGAGGACACTGTAATTGTTTTGGATTTACATTTTAACTAAATGTAGAATAACAAGGAGGTACATGTCTTTTCACTACTGCTATAGGGGATGCTTACTGAATATCTCTGTTTGGTTAACACTCGTTGAAGTATCACTTTCACATATGGAAATTTCTCTCTTCTTAGCTTTAGACTGTAAGCAAAAGAAGTCAAGGTCAAGATCTGGAAGCAAGAAAAAAATGCTGCCATTACCTCATAGTGCTGATGAAGTTTACATACTCAGATGCAGGTACATAGGGTTATTTTAATTGAAAGAACATATTCTTAAGAGCTTGCTAATTTTAGTTGTAAGAAGATTTAAGATTGTATCCTGTAAATCTGTCTGTGATTAAATCGAATAATAAGGGGGTGGGGGAGCAGTTGCCTATTTTCATTAATTTGAACAAGAGGACTTGAATCAGTCATGCTCAGGTATTAGGTTGCCAACTGTTTCTCCAGCTAAAACCAGCTGGAGTTAAACCAGCTAAAACCAGCTAAACCAGCTAAAACCAGTTTCTCCAGCTTATTGGTCATGTGTGCATAATATTCTGTCCTTCAAGAGAAACCTTACGTAAGAACAACAGATTGTTATTGCTAGTGTTAAAAGTGTAAGAGCTTAAGGTGTTTTGTGCTCACAGTTACTATAAATGAACTCAATTACTAAGATTTTCAGCTAAACATGTAGAAACAAACTTCAAGAAGATTAAGCCTTTCCACTTAATGTCTTTATCTAGCTCTACTAAAAAAACTATAAAATATATCTTGATGGAATAATTTTAATATTTGCATAGGTTTTGTGGTCTGGTCTTTCGAGGACCTTTGTCTGTTCAAGAAGACTGGATAAAGCACTTGCAGCGACACATTGTCAACGCAAATCTTCCACGGACTGGAGCTGGCATGGTTGAAGTCACATCACTACTTAAAAAGCCTGCTTCAATTACTGAAACTTCATTTTCTTTACTGATGGCAGAAGCAGCATCATAGAACAAGGAAACAGTTTAAATTTTAATTGGATGTAAATTTGAAATACTTTGTCATTTTTTAAAATAAATTGCTACACTAAATTATGTTTATAAATGCTACAGACAAAAATAGAGGAAGTGGATTACAGTAACATCAAAATAAATTGAATACTTAACAGTTACAGTAAGTAGTCTTTATATTTTATATAGGGTGGAAGATGTGTTTTTAAGGTTTATTACGTTTTTGTCAGTTACTGTGTTCACTATCAATACAAGACCATTACATGTATGGCAGCCATTTTTAAATTGTTGCACATGGGTACTTAAAAGACAGATTTTAATAAAACAAAGAAACCATGTTCTCTTCAGTGTTACCCAAATCAAGGCTCTGTTTATTCCAAAAAGAATTACATAGTAAAATAAGATATTATTATATTTTGTTTGTATGTATGTAGTGTTTTGTATAATACCAAGAACTGCTAATACAATTTACTCAACTTAGGGCATTAAATATCATGTACTTCATAGTTCAAGAGACTGTTTCATTCAAATAGGGCAATTAGTACTATTCTATCTAGGTGTGTAAGTGTTTTTTTTAAATCACATGAGGCTTTTTGTACTAAAAAGTGGAGGGAAACTTGTTTAAACAAATTTCTAAGAGAAATATGTACATAATACTGGAAATTTGTGGTAAGGAAATATTCTTTACTTCAGTTGCATTTCTCACTGACAATAAAGTGGTGCATCCATGCTACCTCCTACTTGTCAACAAAGATGGTATTTACCCTTATGTTTTTGTATCATAGTAGATTCAATCCAACTTTCTTTATTACAAAGCGTCTTTTTGTTAACAAGTTTGTTTCTTTATGATGATTTACTTAAAGTCTGACTTGCTTACAGAAGTTTGCCTCTCTACTATTTTATTTAACACTGTAGAAATGTACTAATAAGCATTGCTCACTACACGGTTAGAGTAGACTTTTCATTTATAATTCTGTTTAAAAGATTGATCATTTTAGAAAATTCGAACACAGATTGAAATGTTTCTACATATGAAGAGAATGTTTACAACTTAAATTTTAGAGCTTGTTTTGGATGTGATTATATGTATGAAAACTGTAACACTATGCTCATGCTAAGGACCTACTTACAGAATTACTGAAATAAATGTGCTGTGAGGATGGAAATATGGTGCAGGTGTCTTGGTCATGCTGAATTGTGTTTGTTCATTTAAACTGTCTTCAGAACATGATTTTTGTTTAAATCGAATCAGATTACAAATCAATTTTGTATGCAAGTAACATTTCATTTTACTCATATAGGGTAACAGATACTGTAGTTAAGCCAAGGATATGCATTGATATTTTCTTTATATGTAAATAAAGTTAAAAGCAGTTAAAACAAGAGGAGTATTTTGGTAGAGTATATACATACCTCACTGCCAGTGAAATTGCTTTCCTATGGTATATCTCCTTACCAGAAAAATCTCTAAATAAAAAGGTTTAAAGAAAATCTAAATGTCTATAATGTGAAGCATTTATTTGCATTGTGTGAATTAAGTTTGTGAAATTGATTTGTCTTGCTTGGGATTAGAATCTTCTCATGATCTTAAGTAAAAGTACATTTACTTGCAATAAACTGACTTGTTCACAGACGCATTACATTTGATTGGTGGAAAATATGAATAAATGTCTGTCTTCCTGTACGTGCGCAGTTCAGAGCTCACACACGAGGCTTGTTAAGGTTCTGATAAAATAGATGGGCTAAAAGTGCACAGCCGTGCAGGACAGGCTCCTGAGACAAGGCCGTCCTAGCCCCGTCAAGGCTATCGTTAAATTAGTGCTATCGGGTGTTTTACTGTACCAGTTGCTACAGATAACTTTAGCTTTATTGTCAAAATCTATTCCCTTTTGGCTTTTTTTTAAACTGGAAAATCTACATCAGTACATTTAAAGGCTGGAGGAAAAAAATACTTTAGAGATTTTAGGAAAGATAACTGGGATGTTGAAGTGTATTGCAGACAAATTATGTGTATGCAGACTAACAAATTTCTAAACTTGTGGATGATTGTGGGATTTTTTTTTTTAATATGCTGTGAAAATGGGAGATTTACAGCAATGTGTTGAAATAGAATAGAGGGAAGTGATCAAATCACCGTGAATGTTTATAATGCTTTAATAGAGTGCTTGTTTACCCTTCTCACCAAAAACAGGTGCTTGTGAGAGCACCCTATTTTGTGGCTATTTAACAGATGAAAAAATCAATTAAGTGCAAATGATATTTATCTAGTATTGTTAAGAATGCTTGTAAGGTGAAGCCATACCGTGCGGAATTCAGCAGTAGCAAAAAAACTCTATTAGGTTCATAATAATAAAAAAACCCTAGTTAATTGTATTTAATTAAACCCCAATAGTGAGCTGCTTTGTGTAACACTAAAATGCAAGGTTGTGCCTGAAGAGCGGGGAGCTCTAGGCCTGCTTAGTTTCCAAAATGAGATGCTTTTCGTTTGGGAGCAGCAGTTTTCAGTGGCAGGCTTTCCGAGTGGGTGCGCTGGAGCCGTGTGCCCTGCTTGCGTCGGATCCTTGACAATATAGTTTGAAATGTATACAGAAGTTCTAGAACTCTTCTGATTATTCAGTTAATTGCATATATGGTTGATTTTTTTTTTTTAAATAATAATAATAGAGAACCCTTAAGCTTTCTTTAGCCTCTAGTCCTCAGGTGGAGCCTATTTGTTTCCTTGGTTTGTGTTGTTTGGAAATACAGATCTTCTGTAGATATCAATTCCCCTTTCTGGAGTTACAGAGATTCTAAATAATCTGATATAATGGAGTTAATTAAATCAGTCACTTTATGAATCTCATGTTTTGAGATGTGTGGCTCGAGAGGCTCTATGGCAGTCTGCGCGAAAGAGCTGGACTTCCAGAACGGCACGTATAAACACGAGTGTTAGTCTGTTCGTGTTGGCTGGATTGCTTCGGGCTAAAGGCTGCAGTGGCCTAGGGATTTTTTTGTTTGCTTGGTTTGGGTTCCTTATCACAATCTTATGTGTTTCTGGAGTTACCTTAGTTTCTGGGAAAGCTCTCTTAAGTGGTAGCCTCTGGAAGGTTACAAAGGAATCTTCAGAATGCTTAGAGGAGCCTGGGAAATTGCAGAATTGTTTTGTGTAAGATGATTGCCTGTATCTCCCAGCCCCAGCGATATTTCCAAATCATCTTAAAAATTTAAAGCTTGTTTGCATTGCTTGAAAAGAGGTTTCTGCTGGAAAGGCGATTTTGAAGTGCCTGTGGTAGTCGCTGCCAGGTGGTAGTGTGTTCAGGCTGTACGCATGGAAAATGGGAGATGGAGGCAAGGAGATAACAAATGTTGGCTCGCAAAGACCCCGTGGCATTTACTCCTGTTTGCCGTATACCACTTCGGATGGATTGTGTGAATTGCGTTAGGTGGACCGCTCCCACAAGCCGAGGCGGGCCGGCTCTGCCGGCAGATCCAACTTCGGCTTCCTCGGGGCTTGCCTCAGCCAGCCGGCGGTGCGGGGAAGCGAGCTGCTGGCTCTTCTCCGTGGGAGCAGCAGCACGGAGCAGGCGGAGGCCGCCGGTGCGGAGGGAGAGCCGGCACCTCGCGTGCCGAAGACGGGCACTGGGACGGTCGGCGTTCGTGTCCTGGCCAGACTGGCCGTGTTGGAGCTATGTGCCTCTTCAAAGTCCTGCCTTTTCAGCCACGCTCAGGGAAATCACCAAGGTCTTTGAGGTAAGTGGATCGCAGGAGGAACGCGAGCCATGAACCGGGGCTCGGAGAAGCGCGTCCACCCAAAGTTCCGAAAGGCCGGCGTCACGGGACTGAGACGGGGAGATCGGTTCCTGCAAAGCTCTTTTGACTCCAGTGCTTTTTCTGGGCCGGCTGTGGCTCTGGATTATCCTGCATGTCAATAGTGCTTTAAAGAGGGGCTGTTCATTAAATCTTCCACCTGATTCCAAAAACCTACAGAAGATAAATGTTGGCTGAACAAATGTGGAAAAATTAACAGCAAATAATAAGTACTTGCTTTTAACTACATGGTAAGGGCTGTGAAAGCAGCCTGTTGAGGTGAGCGCTATGGTTAACAGACTTTCCCACTTTTTATCACAGTAGTTAACGGCCTGGATGCTTAAACACCAGTTTTCTATTCAAAAAAATTGGTTTATATAGTTTTGACTTGGTTTTTTTTTTAAAAAAAAAAAACTTTCTAGGGTGGTACTTACTTAAAAAAGCTGACTGCATTATGATTTCGGGTGTTTCAATCCACCGTGCTTTGTAGGTGCTGTTGCCTGATACATGGGTAGCAATTTTGATGTAATGGAAACATTTTGGCCCTAGAGCCAGGTCTGTAATCTCTCACAATAAAATGTTCCTTTTTAACACCACAGGCTTTTTGGTGTTCTTCCCGTTGTTTCGGAGGCGAGCTGCACGGCGTGCGTCGCTTAAACCGGGGGCTCCCGCGCTACCCTGAATAGTTGCATGGCGAGGCGAAGAGGGCGGGTTTGCTGGCTGCAGCCGCCTGAAAATTCCGAGGTGAGGCAGGGAGAGGGCACTTACATTCCAGTAACGGAGACCGGGAATGAGGGTTGGTGGTGGAGGGAACATCACCAGAGCCAGGGGCCCGAAGCCGAATAACAACGGCTCTCGTCTGCGCGTACCCTCCCACCCCTCGCTCTGCACGATCTCGTTTTGCCGATGCCGCCTTTCCCAGTCGGAAGCGGTTTTTCCCTCCGGCGCTGGCTGCGCTGTGGCTCCCACGTGTACCTGGACCCAGGGTGCTCTGAAAAACCCAACCTACCGCGTGCTCTGCAGCTCCCCCCGGTCTGCTGCTGCAGCGAGAAAGGGCTCATGGCCATACCACGACCGTTCGCACCCACTCTGCCAGAACAGAAATGCAGAGGCTGATCAAATTTAGCGTGAGGTTGGTCAAATTTAGCATAACGGAGTGTTGCGGGTTTTGTTTGTTTTAAACAAGGGCTGCAGTTGGGCGTTCCCTCCACGCTGTCCTGATAGAGCTGATAGCCTGGCGCTGCTCGTTTTCATTTCTAGTTGCACTGTAGGCTGATAAACTTGTATTTAAAAAAGCGAAACAGGAAATCCCTCCAACTTTAGTGCCCTATTCCCCTATTACAATTTGAATATAAGTCGGCTAACAGCCTTTTTGTAAAACCTCTTCGTAATACTCAAGTGCATCAAGTAGAAAACTTGGCTAGAAATAAAAATTGGAATGAACGCATCCCTGTAGGGATGCGCTTCTCCAGGTGGAGGCAAAGTTTGTTATAAAAGCCCTGAAAGCCCTTTCTTGGGCAGGCTCTGCGCACTTTTTTTACAATTAAAACCCAAGCAAACAGCATCCTTAGTAACTGTGAGCCCAGAGACCTCAAAATTACAGCTTTTACTGCCTAGTGGGGGAACAAAGGGTGCCCTGGAGCCCTCTCACGGCTTCCGAAGTGTTTGTACTGCACACGTTGCATAAATCGCAACACTGTTGGGCTTTCCATCCTCTTTTTTTCACTTAAAAGTACACTTTTAACTCATAAGAGCTGAGGTTTACATACCAAGTGATGATGATAATCCCTCTGCTTTTGTGTCGGAGACCTGCAACATGAAATGTGCGTACATGAGGTTTATGGTGAATGTTCCTAAGTATAATCTGTCACTTTTAAAACAATCTGTTTATTGGAAACTTCACATTTAAACATTTGATTATGTATCTTTAAGCCAGCAGCAGCTGTGAATCGTGTTTGTAGCTCTCTGTGAAACTCATCCAAATCCATCCTCACTGCTGTAGCAACAAATGCTGAAGCTCTGAATCCCATTGCGCTCTTTGAAACGGCTTCAGAAAAGAAATGACTGATAAAGCGGAACGCAAGCTAACACCATTAACCTGTGTTTTAACCAAATACGGAATCGTGTGTCACCCAGGTACAAGCCTTGCTGACAAGAAATAATTCTTTCATCTGTCTCTTCCCTGGAAAAAAACAATGGCGTGAAAGTAGGAGAAAGAAAATAGCCTGCTTTGGCTAAAGAAGCGGGGCGGGGGGGAAATCTTTTAAAAACAAACAAAAACCCATAGGTTGAAACAGAAACTGCAAACAGGGGGAGACAGTATAAGCCTGAGGTTGACACTTGTTTTGTAGTCTCTGAAATCCAGCTGATGGCTGCGTTCGCCGTGCCTCCAAATCTTCAGGGGTGCGTCTGGGTTCCTGGCGGAGAGGAGGTTAGGGCAAATATTGTCCTTAGCTGCGCAGCCAAGGAATAAGGTTTAACCCCAAACCGTTACAGAAATAGGCAGTGACAGGGAAAAGAGGTTTTAAATCCAATTTCTTGTGTTGGAAGTCAACTGTGCCCATTCCCTTTGCCGTCTGGAGTATGTTTACTGATGCTTTTCCAGCGCTGCGTAGAAATCCGTAGACACTTGGTCCTGTCGTGAAGGAGCGTGAGCTGCTCTTCCCACGTATGGCCTCAGTCACAAATTTGGTACTGAAATCTGAATTTTCCAGG